TGTGTATGTGTATCTGTGGGCGTGTGAATGCACGCAAATATAGGCATTTATTTGTGCACAAGCCCACCAATGCAGACAAGTGTACTGGAGTAAGCGGAGCGGAGTTTGGATCACTACGACTCCTAGAAACACGATCAAAGGTCTCATTTCATTACTGACATATCAAATGCCAGGTGGACTTCCCGTTCGTGCCGCCCTGAGTTCCCATAACGTCTGCCCTTCATCAATAGCTCTGATACTAGCATCGTAGCTACACTTGTTCACTCTGTGACGAGACTATCAAGTTGGCAAGCGAAAGCCAGAATAACGTATGACAAGACGATGATAAGGGAAAATTTCAATCAGCTTTCGTCCTGTGCTTTTTGGGTAAAACAACGAATAAGCCCAGTTGCAATATGGCATAAGAGGCTGACGACCGGGGCTGGAAGACGAGTTGACGAGACTAGTAGTGATGACAAGAAGGGTGTTGGGCGGACAGGTGTGGGAGCAGAGGTAGCGGTGAACGCAAACCGGGTCAAGGTCAATTGAGCACGAAGGTAGATATGGCCAAGAGGATTGTGTGTGTATCTGTTTATCTGTCTGTCTACGTAAGTGTGTGTGGCAGCCTGGAGGCGACAAAGATTGTGGCCTGAGTCATGCTCAGTCCAGCGAACTAAGCGGGAAAGGTGTGTTGTATTTCATACAAGAGCGACCGATGGTGATGTGTGAAGAGGGGAAGGGATAATGGAATGAGGATTGCACATTTAGGAGCTGTCCTTACGCAAAATAGCAAGTAGCCCAAAGACCCTGACGAAAAGGAGAAACCGAAAACGCCTTTGGTTCAACAGTGAGCTGAACTCTGACGTAGATCAGCACAAATAAGCTTACAAGACCTAAGCCCATTGAAAAACGTTTTAAGATAGTGAGAACAGTGGGCATTTGGCCCCTGGGAGTTCAAGCCTTGGTGATGATTTCATCTCATTAGAATGTTTTCGAGGCTAAACAAAACTAGAGTAGAGGGAACTCGTGAATTCGCCCCACCACGGCAAAGAAGGAACTGCCTTGCAAGCAGAACTGTGAGTTTGATCGACGCATCGTCCAACGAGCAAATGGACCGGCGCCGAGCTTTCGTCAGTCCTGCCGAGACAGACAAGACCAGAGTATGAAACGATTCGTTAACCGCCATTCACCAATCGCACCATCCGTTACTTGGAGTTTGCTGAATTTTGGCTATGGATTGGCAACAGGCTCTGACGACGTGTCACGGCGGATCAGGCGAAAACTCAGCACGAATTGATCGGAGTAGGACTGAGCGGTGAGCACTTTTAAGTCGAAATAATAAGTAATTCGTAACTTCCAGTTGCGAATTAGGTTCGCTCAGCCTTTCTTGAAAAAGGAAAGATTAAATGGCAGGATACAGGAAGTAGCTAGAAGGATGTTGAAAGAAGCGGGAAGGGCCGAAGGTAAACGATAATTAAAGTCCCTCACTCAGACAGCGAAAATGATGAGGCCCCTGAGGTGTGACCGACTGAATCGGCCAAAATGGTGAAGATGATTGATGCCAGATTAAACGAGATCTTTGCAAATATCGTGCATCGAAATCATGTACAAATAGCAATCCCCAACTAGCTCGTCCATAAATAGAGTCTGGCCTAAATCTCCATTGACCAGTCAAATACGGACACTTTTTTGACACTATAAAGGTTTCCCGAACATGCTGTTGCATGGACAACTTTCAAGGATATACGAAGAAAAGTTGGGTTTCAAGGAATCTCTTATTTGATCATTGTCAAGCCTACTTCCATTTCGAGTAAAAGTATTTGGTGAAGAGATTCTAAGGTCGATCCAACCAGAAGACGTCGGCGGATTCCTCTCGACCAGATGTCGATTGGCTTTGATGGAACATTCTCGAGGTAATCTCCTTCGATTCCGGTAAAAACGTGTTAAGCTTTCGTCCGCCGTATGACGAACATCATCAGAGCAGAGCATCATCCTTACAATCAAATTCAAGCTAACGACCCTATCATCTGCCATAAGAGAGATTATATAAAAATAAGCTAGAGGGGGGAAAGAAAAGGCATTAGTATTATATAGTTAAAGGAACATTTTTCTAGTATTAGATTGGAAATGCAAAAGTGGAGCGAGATTAACTTCTCGAGGCTATTGCTCATCTGACCCTGAGACTAATAGATCGGAACTAGAGCAGAGGTGAAGGCTGAAAGTATTTATTATACAGCAGAGCTGTGTGACTGGTGAGAAAATATTTGGTCCGAGGAAGTACAAACCATTTTCTCTGCCGGGTGAATAAGGAGCATTGTAGGGTCTCCTTTGCCAGCATATATTCCCTCAAGGTGGCAATAAAGTTAAGAGTATAATAGGCATGTTTATAAGGCAGCGCAGAGCAAGTTCAGTCGTAATCACATAATTGACGCAGAGGCGAGTTTAAAATCTATAGATTGTCAGACGACTCAAACACTCGGAGCAACAGTATTCCACAAAAATAATATGAGGGAATTAATCTGTGGCAAAGAATGTATAGCATGGATATTAATGCACATTAAGTTGTTCCATGTTAACTATTCGAAAGGCTTTCATGCAAACGCACGAGCAAAAAAAAGTATCTTCAGAATCCTTGCCTGAAGAATAAGAATGCATTCCAAACCTTAGGTCCCGGAATACCATGTTCTATAAAGTGCTGACAAATCGGGCTCCCCACCTTTAGTTCCAACTTCCAATGCTTCCCCGAGTCATGTTCAATACCGATCTGAGATACAGAGAAGCAAACAAGTAATGACATTTTAGCGATTTTATAACTGACTTGATTATCAGAGAGATCTGGAAGAGCATTAAGAGGTTTGGTTGAAATACTGAAGAAGCAGACTTGAATCAGAAGCTTGATGAAGACATAAACATGTACTACCAGTCCCAGACAGTCATCAAAGATGAAGGCGGTGAAGAAAGGCATTTCTTAGAAAAGTACAAATAATCGAAGACTTTTGGATCGACATTGCCAACTAAACAAAGAGGGTTTCATTTATATTTGTTAGTGTATGAATGGGAAACAGGAGGAACAAATGCGGTTCTTATGGAAAAAATAAATAGACACCTAAAAAGATGAGAAATTCACTAAAATAAGTAAGTAGTGTCAGGGAGGCAATATGGTATTGAGATTAACTCACCTGTAAAGGCATCGCCTATAAAGGCTACTCGAAGACAAACAGGTCTATGCTCATTTTTTTCGAAGGGTACCAATCGGATACGCCTGGCGACAATGGGAGGGTTTAATCTCCGGTATTCGACTTTCTCAACATTCCGGTTGGCTGAAATAAGCTAAATTTAAAAAAAAAATGGAGATCATTTTGAAAAAGAACACAATAATATATTTTCAAAATTGAATGAGGGAGTCTGATCAGTAACTAATAGTTTATCTAAGCAAGGGAATAGTTAAATAGTTATGAAAAGCACCAAGAAGCAAAGGAGATCACTTCAATGATGTAGGCCGATATACTACAAGTGGCATCATATTTCGGAATACGCAATATTTCGGTTCCTAGGGTTTCTGTACATAGACAAAAATAGTGTTGGGAATTTGAGGTAGTTTGGTGACAAAATCAAAAATAGAATTTAAATTGTTGGTTGATACCATCTAGGAAATAAAATTAGAGATTAGTTGAAACAACAAAAGTAAAGTATTAAATTTGTGAGTAAATAATAAAGCAAATAAATGGTATTATAAATAGTGTGTGAACAGGCAGATTTATTCATTGATAAGAAGAAGCTAGTCGTCGTGTATAAAGCAAGTATATGAATGAAAATTAGTTATTTACCTCACTATAATCTTTTAATGCTAATTATATGAA